CCTTTCCAGATGTAAAAATACATAATTTCTCTTCCTTTTATATGGGAGTGTGCACATACAGTGTCTTTAATTAACCCATATTCCCTTTTTTTTTAATAGATGTTGATAAAATTCAAGGTGCAAAGCCTTGAAATAAAACCACAGGATGCTTTGGGCTGGAGAGGACTTTAAAGAAAATATTGCTCAAACTTTTGCCATGGACTGGGACATTTTCCACTATCCCAGATTGCTCCAAGCAACTCAGAGAGGTTTGGGAAAGGCCAGGGGAGGCTGGAATTTTCTAATTTAATTAGAAATTTAATGAGTGTTTGGAGGGGGTTCTGTGGTGTCTTGGGCTGGGTGAGAGGGGGAATAAATCCAGGGGGGAAAAAATCCAGGGGGGAATAAATCCAGGGGGGGAATAAATCCAGAGGTGAATTAATTCAGGGGGTGAATTAATCCAGAGGGGGAATAAATCCAGGGATGAATAAATCCAGGAGTGAATAAATCCAGGGGGGAATTAATCCAGAGGTGAATTAATCCAGGGGAGAAAAAATCCAGGGGTGAATAAATCCAGGGGTGAATAAATCCAGAGAGTGAATTAATCCAGAGGGAGAATAAATCCAGGGATGAATAAATCCAGGCGGGGAATAAATCCAGGGTTGAATAAATCCAGGGGGGGAAAAATCCAGGGAGAAAAAATCCAGGGGGGGAATTAATCCAGGGGGGGGAATAAATCCAGGGAGAAAAAAACCCAGGGGGGGAAAATCCAGAGGTGAATTAATCCAGGGGGAATAAATCCAGGAAGGAGTAAATCCAGGGGGGTGAATAAATCCAGGGGGAGAAAAAAATCCAGGGGGGAATAAATCCAGGACAGGGACACCCCAATTCTGATCCTGGACAAGGACACCCCAAAGTTGATCCTGGACAAGGACACCCCAATGTTAATCCTGAACCAGGACACCCCAAAATTGATCCTAGACAGGGACACCCCAATGCTGATCCTGGACACCCCAATGTTAATCCTAGTTAATCCAAAATTGATCCAGGACAGGGACACCCCAATTCTGATCCAGGACAGGGACACCCCAAAGTTAATTCTTTACAGGGACACCCCAAAGTTAATCCTGGGCCAGGACACCCCAATTCTGATCCTGTACAGGGACACCCCAATGCTGATCCTGGACCAGGACACCCCAATTCTGATCCTGGACAGGGACACCCCAAAGTTAATCCTGGACCGGGACACCCCAAAGTTAATCCTGGACCAGGACACCCCAAAGTTAATCCTGTACAGGGACACCCCAAAGTTAATCCTTTACAGGGACACCCCAATGTTGATCCTGGGCCAGGACACCCCAAAGTTAATCCTGTACAGGGACACCCCAATTCTGATCCTGGGCCAGGACACCCCAATGTTGATCCTGGACCGGGACACCCCAAAGTTAATCCTGTACAGGGACACCCCAATGTTGATCGTGGGCCAGGCTCCTGCACCAGCGCAGAGCTGCAGGTCAGGCCCCCCCATCAAAGCTGAGCTTTAGGGATAATCGTGGCTTTAGCAGCGCTCTGCCTCCCCCCAGCACTGCCCCCGAGTGGGGGCAAGAGCAGCAGCCTCTCACCTTTATTCGGCTCGGCCCCACCCTGGAGAAAGAGAAATCTTGTCCCGAGGAGAGCAGGGAGCCGAGAGCGATAAGGAGCAGCATTTCTTTCATTTGAAATGCCCGGTGCTCCCTGCACACACAGCTGACAGCCCGGGACAGCCACGACATGCTGCTCAGAACTCACGGGCAGTATTAAAATATGAATAAAATTATTTCTGTGTGATTTCTGCCCAGGGAAAATGTGATGGTGTTCATTCCTCTCTTCTCTCCTTGTTTTCTTCTCCTACCTTTTTTTCCCACCTCATCACTGCAGGAATAATTTTTTTTTTTTTTCCAGCAAACCACAAACACTAGGAAAAAACCCACATTTTTAAATCCCAGGTGATGTCCCTTCCCAAAACTTCACACAGGGGCTGTAATTTTAGAGTTTTAATGCAAATCTCATTTTTAGGAGAATTTACTGCTCAGGTGATTCTTTTAATCAACACCTGGGAGCTGGAAATGCTGTCAGTAATTTTTTTTTTTTTTTTAACAGCAAGGACAGGGAAAGATGAGAATGAGCTCAATGTTTTATGGAATTATTGTTAAAATGTTGCATATATGTAAAAGAAAGGCCTTAAAAAAATCAAGCCTTTCTATTCTGGCTAAGCTGCCTATTAGGTTGCCATTAAAAAAACCCCCAAACCATAAAAATAAAAATCAATTAACACAACAATCTATTCTTATAAAAACAAACAATCCACATCTATAAAAACCAAAAAAATCTATCCCGTAAAAATACATATAAACACATCTAAAAATATATTTAATCAACATATACAATAACCCTTATCGACCAATAAACCAAGTTTCAATAAACTACTCACCAATTAAATTCAAACCCAATACCTTCAGTACCATATAAAAATAAAGTACCCACAATAAAAAATTAACTATTAAAAAAAAACCCAAATATTTTATTTTATCTCCAACACAAGACCCACACCAGGCAGACATCTGTTAATGAGATGTTCTCAAAGAGGGAGCCAGTGCTGAGTTTTGGGACGTGGATTTTGGGGGTAATTTTTCGGATTTTGGGGTAATTTCACATATTTTCGGGGGTAACTTCACGGGTTTGGGGGTAATTTCACGGATTTTGGG